TTCCCTTCACTCCCCTGGGGCCTGGCGGGTCCCTGGGTGCTGGGGTGGTGGGCTGCGGAGTGCCAAGGGGACGCTGGACCAAGACTTGGGCTGTACATCTCGTGTCTGGCTTTGGCAAACCATTATCTGCCCTCCAACGCGCACGTCTTCAGAGTCGCTCCTTGTGTTTTCCTCCTCTCTCCAAGATGGTGCTCTGGGGCTCAGGACAGGTACTGTTGTGGCGTTGAGGGACAGCTCCTGGCTTGAGCTGGGCTGACCGGCCAGGCCCCCCCGCCTCTGCGGGTGGTGCCCCCGCCCAGCTCCAGCCTCCTCTGCTGCCCGTGGCTCGGGGCTCACTGCGTGGCTGACTGTAGACAGACATTGCTTTGTGTATGGTCTCAAGAAGCAAAGAATTATAAAAGTCACCTAGGAGAGCTCCAGCACATAGGTGAAAGCCAGGAGCAGGCTCCTCATGGAGCGGAAGGGAAGGAAGCGTGGCCTTTGTATCTTACAGTGCAGCTGAAAATCAGATGGTAGATGAGTAAAGCACATGTGAAAAGTTTAGGTGGCCAAACTCTCATCTCTTCGGTGACCATGTGTACCACTTACCTGCAGAAATCCTCCCTGGTTTGGCTCAGCAGCATCTTGAACTAAAGGAATACGTAATCCACATCTAAGCAATAAAATTCTCAATTAAAATGAGAAGTGAATAGTAGCATTAACCTAGTGCCCAAAGTCCAACCTGAAGACTTAATGCTGTTTATTCTTAGCACTGGGAGCTGCTGTGCTGATGAAAGCACTCTGTCCGTAGCGAAAGGGTAAGTCAGCAGCGGGCATCTTGCTGTTGGCATAGGTGGGGCTGCAGGGAGGGTGCTGCCCCCCCCAGCCACACCGTGCAGGAGGGTACTTCCACCTCCTGGAAGGTCTAAGGAGCAGGAGGTTGTGAATCAATAATACAAAACACTCACAGGGATTGTTTAAAACTTTCTGTAAACACAATTCTTACTCCATGACACGACTAAGAGCAGACGTGGCAACTGCTCTGAAACACTTTCCAATCTCTTCTGTTGCAGTCGGCGCTGAAGAAGAAACTGATGGAGCTGCACAATCAGAGTGAGAGAGCCGTGCGAGCGATGAACACGGTGAAAACAAAACAAGGCCAAGTTACTGTAAGTGGGTAACGGTTCAAAATGCTGTCAGGCTGCCTGGCATACGCTGGGTACTGCGTGTTGTTGATCCTTGAACCCTTGTGACCACGGCTGTAGCGCTGAGGCTGCGTTGGCAGGAGAAGGTGTTATTAGGAAGGAACAGCAAAGGCGCTTTGGCAGAGCAGGCAGCTCTGCGGGAGATCAGAGTAACCCAGGCACTGTGCAAGGGCTTTATACCCGCACGTGCTGACACACCTGAACCGTAACGGGGATCAAATCCATCCTTTCTTGTTACACCAGAAGCACCCATCTGTGCAGCCCAGGCTGAAGGATGAGTGAGCTGTAACGGCCGCGCCAGCGCAGGCAGTTGGGATGTCTCTTCCCCTTACGTTACCACAACTAATCCTGGCTCTTCGCTGACGATCGGGGTCGCTGTTTGTGCTGCTGGCTGGATCTGGGTGTGCCTCACGTGCACCATCCCTTCTGAGCTGAGTGTTCCTCAAAGGCTTGGGTGTTTCTTGTAGCAGCAGTCAGTCAGTACTTTGTCCACAAACTGTTCTTCTGAAACCAGTGTCTGTCTGTCCTTGTCTGCTCCAGGAGACAGCTTCCAGGAAGAAAGATTTGGTCAGAAGTGAGTTTGCAGAAATCAAAGCTTTAGTCGAAGAAAGCGAAAATCAGGCCTTAAAAGTAATTGCAGATGAAGAAAAAAGAGTTTGCAATAAGTTTGATTATGTTTACGGTATTCTGGGAAGCAAGAAGAATGAAATCCAGTCTGTCAGAGATCAGATTGAGATGGCCCTGACCGAAGGTGATGACATTCTGTTTTTGAAGGTAATACGTCCTTGATACGCGAATCCAATTCTTTGTGTTTCTAGAATGCAGAATTGCAAAAACCAGCTGTGGTAGTCCTGCTCTCCAGACACGTTCAGCCAAATGCTAATGCCATTGTGTGCGAGAACCTGTGATAAAAGGATGCACTGACAGGCACACGGGTCCCAGTGACAGGGCTGCAGTGGAGCGGTGTCTGGCAGCTCCCCCTGTTCGGGCTCTGCCACAAGCCGGGGGCCAGCGAGTGAGAGGACTTGTCTCCGTGAGGTGCTGTGGCTCCGTGCTGTGACGCTGGCGAGTAGATCCCTCTCGCTGCTGCAGATACCAGTTGAGAATTTAAGCATATGGGTTGCTGCTGAAATGTTGCCTTGGGTTGTGTCTGACCGTAGGCTTTGCTCCTTTGAATTGGAGATGGACGCACAAACCCTTTACCTTGGTTGTATTTTTCTGTCTGCTATGTAGGGTGGCCTGAGTGAGATCTTCTGTTTGTCGTTTCAGAGAGCAGCAGCACTGCAACAAACATCAACAAAAGACGCTTTTGTTCCTGTAATTGAGATGGACCAAAACATGATACATTCTGCTTATCAGTCTGCCATTAACCTCAAAGACATCGTGAAACTTTCAGTGACTCAGTCCAGGGAGACAAGAGCGGAAGGTACTGTATCGCTGGGAGAATTGGCATTTCTGCCTTGGCTTTGAGCTCAAATAAGATCTTCTCCCTTGGATCCAAATATCAGTAAGAAAAAATAGTGTAGCAAATACAGTTGGTTGATATAAATTGTGTCTTCCAACTTCTGCAGTCCTTCATTTCCACACAAAAATGCTACAGTCTGTTTTTTAAGTTTTTTATAGTGTAGGAGGGTTGGATGCAGTTAGGATGTAGGTTTGGGGGGAGACATAAACTGCTTTAGAGTGACAGGACTGTGGTTACCCAGTTGTGAAGGTGGAGATGGTGTAAGTGCTGTTGAACAAAGTCCTGTTTACCGGATTAAGCAAAAGTGTCTTTTGGACTGGGGTGTGGGTGTCTCCTATGCAGTTTCCATCTCTGCCGAGTATCACTTAAGTCCTATTCACATAAGTGAATAATAAGATTGAAAAATGTCCTTGCTGGTGCATTAGTGTTCCTGGCAATACAAACGATAATGTACAATATCACCATTGCAGTAAAACTGACACCTGGGAAAACTATGCCCCATCCAGCGGCTTCTCCAAACACAGCCCCTGTTGGGAAAAAGCCTCCGGGACCACGTAAGTACTAAAGAACATCATCATCCTCTCCTACCTGTGCTTTTACCATTAAATAAGAATTCAGGCAGTTCCCAAGAGCTGTTGCTGGGGGGGTGGGGCTGCAGTGATTACCTGTAAGAGCACTCTGGCATGGGGAAGGGGGGGGTTTGGGCTGTTTCGTGGTGGATGCCTCGTGAGCTGTAAAGCAGCGAACTGCGCAGATACGAGGGTGCGTTCGTGGTGTCAGTGCAGGCTGTGAAGCAAAGCAGAGCTTCCCCACCCTCTGGTTCTTGCAGGTTTTTTTTTTCACTTGTACTAAACACGTGTTTGTTCAATGGACTTGTATCTACTGAATCCTGCTTATAAGCTGCTCACGTTCTGTTTTTTTTTTCTTCCCCCCTCACAAGAGCATGCCCAGAGAAAGAAAGTCCTTCCTCAGGCTCAAGCTGCTTCGCAGGTGGAAGCAGATACCAGTAAGTGGTGGTTAATAGCGGCTTTACTCAAACATTGTGCTGGCCACGTCTTGCCTAGAGTGCCAGGCTGGGGTGATGGAGACAGTCTGTGGCAGGTTATACTGGGGCCTTTCCGTGTTGTTTGTCCAGATACTGGTATTAATGCAGCACTCCAGCCTGCTTGGAAGATCCTCCATATTCTCTCTTTTAAATAAATCCAAGTCTTAAGGAACTATTTCTGCAGCTTCCACTGAGCTGTTGACCACGGTCTTTCCATTCACAAGTGCTGGGTGTGGAGCGCTCGGCGGGGGCTGCTGGAGTTGGATGGATTTGTAGCTCCTGTTGCTGCACTGGAAGTTCTGTTGTAAAAAGAAAAGGAATAATCCATGTGCCGCATGGGAACTGGCTTATTACCGCTTGTCCTAGCACGCTGCATCCTGGAGTAGAGATGAAGCTCCTCCCAGGCTTATGATCCTGTGAAACAGGAAGCAAACAGGAGGTTGTGCTTCACGTGTAGCTTGCAGTACAGATGTATTTGTACATGGCTTCAGCATGCTGGGCTGTCAGCTTTATCTACAGCTGCAGCTTCAGAAGAGCCGTGATGATGTTGTTACAGGTGGCATGGTCTGTCAGTGGCTTCTCAGTCTCGGTACAATTCACAATTCACTTTTTTTTTTCCCCCCAGAGGAGAAAAAGAAAGCTGCTAAAGTTGGTAAGTCCAAACCTTCATCATACTTCTTCTGATTTTCACTGACTGCTCTTAAAGTGATCAGTGACGGTCACCGGTGTTGGTGGATTCAGTTGTTCAGCCGTTGCTCGGAGAAGGCTCTTGCTGGTCACCATGAGAGCGATCGAGCACTGAAAGAGGGTGCCCAGGGGCAACAGGGGATTTCCAAAACTTGACAAGATTGTGAGCAACCTGAGTAATAACTGAAGTGAGCCTGCGTGGAGCAGGAGGCTAAGCCAGATGATAACCTTGAGAGATCTGCTCCAACCTGAGTGTCTCTGACGGGGTGTTAAGTGTTCAGGGGTTCTTCCCAACCGGCCAAACTCTCTTTTGTTCTGTCAACACAGCGCCGACCACAGGAACACCAAAAGCTGCAGCTGCGACTAAAGAGCTCATTGACAGCTTTCTGAAGAAATCCAGAGAGGAGCTTTTGCAGTGTAAGACGCCCAATGTTATGCTACTTAAAGATGAACTTTCTGCTCTCACTGCCCTGGTGTTATGTGCTCACTGTAGTTATCTGACAAAAATACTTTTAAGGGCGATTATCAACTGATCGTTACAAATTAAGGAGATTTTTGGAGGAGAAGGGAGTGGGAGGTTTCTAAGTAGTTCTTTTTCCAGATAAACTTGGTTAATCTTCAGTATTCATGTATCTTTGTGAAGGTAAATGAAGTTTTCTCGGTAATGGCTTTAGTTTCCCCCAGAATGACTGCATCAGGGTAGCCTACAAATACGATGTACCACACTGGATTTTTTTCTTTGAAATGAAACGCAGGCTTTTACGCAAGCCCGTGGTGGCCTGCTTAAGATGCTGTACCAGCTGGTGTACAGTATGGTACAGCTTTTGCTGCCAGATCAGCAGTCCCTTCCTCTGCCAGCATATTTTTGGGTGGTGAAGAAATCTCATGGGGATGCAGGAAGGAAGGAAAGCTGCCCTCCCTTTGCCTCCTGTGTAACACAGAGCTGCGGCTGAACCCAGCAGCTGTTACTGTGGCCCTACGAATGGCCTGCGCTGCGGAGGACAGCAGCCCAGGGAGATAAACACGCACAGAAACAAGTTTATCCTAGGCAGGGTGGTATAAATGAAAGTGCTTTGCTCTTCAGTACCTTCTAACCCTTCATGTCCTTGCAGATGCTGCCAACATCACGCTGGATTACAACACAGCTCATAACAAAATCATTCTGTCGGAGAGATACACCAAGATGTCTGTCTCGGACATCCCCCTGCTTTATGACCACAACCCTCAGCGCTTCACCCACTGCCCCCAAGTGCTGGGGCTCCAGTACTTCAAGAGTGGCATCCACTACTGGGAGGTGGAAATGGAACAGAACAACTTCTGTGGCATTGGCATCTGCTACGGCAGCATGGAGAAGCAGGGGCCGGAGAGCCGCCTGGGGAGGAACAGCAGTTCTTGGTGTGTCGAGTGGTTTAATTCCAAAATATCAGCCTGGCATAACGATGTTGAAAAGTGCTTGCCCAATACAAAGGCTACTAAGATTGGTGTGCTGCTCCACTGCGAGGGAGGGTTTGTGATCTTTATGGCTGTTGGGGAGAAGCATAACTTGATCTATAAATTCAAAGCCCAGTTTACTGAAGCCTTGTACCCTGCCTTCTGGTTATTCTCCAGTGGCACGGTTCTCTCGCTCTGCCACATGAAACAGTAAGGTCTTGTATCTTCATTTAGTTTGCCTAGGTACATACAAGCAAATAATCATTCCTGCAGCAAATCATCCTTGCATGTCTTAGTCTAAGAAGTCTCAAAGATTGATTGTTTGAGACCAGAATTATTAGCTCTTTTAAGTAGTTGGGGATACCTGCTGATTCTTTGGTCTGAATTTCTTAAGCCTTTAGATAGTGAGTTAGTAAAACATTGATGATAGTAAAAACTATGATGAAAGGTTTTGCAGAGACCTTGATGGTCCTTCTAAAAGTTTTGATGCAATCAATTGTTGAATGTCTTCAGTGGCTGCTGTTGCTTCTGTGATTTGCTGTAAAGGACCCTCAGAATTAATTTTAGGGTTTAAGTGTATTTCACAGGTAGCAATAATTGCTTTGAGAAAGAAACAGGAAGAATCCCTGACAAATTCAGGTTCCAGGCTCTGAGGTGGGTCTCAGTGTTGGCTTGTTCGCTATAGGCAGGCTGTTGTCCGCAGTCGGAATTTGCAATACACGTGTTCTCCGTGTATGACTCCGAGACGGTACAGAGGGAACTATTAACATCAGTAAGTTCAGGTCTTGTGATGCGAAGTTATAAAAGCCAATATGAGAAATCCCATCAGAATGGAAAAGCAGAGACTTTCTAGCCTTGATAGATAAGAAATGGTGTCAGAGCCACCAGGAAATGAATGACATTGACTCAGAGAGTGGGAATACGCCAGAGGGTCTTCAGGAAGGCATCCTGCAGAGCAGCGGTGTGTGCCCCGTAGTAGCACGGTTTGTGGGACGAAGCATCCTGTCTCGTATTCAGACCCAGAACACGCTTCACATCTTCACACTGAAGGCTCTTCAATGGTTTTGGGTTTTTTTGTGTGTGTGTGTGTGTGAGGTGTTCAGGGAATGCATTTTTGGCTTGCCTAGGGAGCATAACTCTGCTGTTTGCTTAAAGCAGGGTCTCCTGTCATAAACCTTTTCCTCTTTGTGAGGCTGGATAGTCTCTGCTGGTGTATCTTCAGCTGTTCTGGTGGCAGAAACTGGATTTCCTACATGTTATTGGGACTCAGATTTGAGGAGTCTCAAGACAGTGTGCACAGTCCCTGGAAGATGCTGGTTGCTGTCTGCGTGAAGCCGGCAGGCAGACAGGCGAGCCTTCTGGCACATGCAGGGAACTGGCACACAGGAGAATGGATTTCCATTCCCACAGGAATGGATTTTCAGTTCTCCCCATGTTCTTTGCTTTGGGTTGTGGTATGTCTTCAGAAGTCCTCACTATGTACAGAGGAGTCTGTACTTCTGCATTTTTTACTTACAACTTTGAAATAATCAGTAGGCGATCAAGGTGTTTGAGTCTCAGTTCCTGGGCCTGTCTGTTGGTGATGTCTCTGGACTTGCCAAGCTCTCTTGTTTCTTGTAGTAGCCCGTGAAGAAGAGGGAAGCTCACATGAGACTTCCTGGACTTTGATTTGTAAACCCCCCCTTGTGGGACTTGCTGGCAGTTGAGAAGGGAGTTGTTAGAAGGCTCAGGAGAACCTTTGTGATTAGCCAAGTGCTTCAGAGAGAGACTTGCAGGAATTCAGGCATGGTGTCTCTCTTTTCACTTGGTTTGCAAACTCTTAGTACTTTGTCAAGGATAGCAGAGGTCTGATAAGATGATTCAATTTCTTTGGCTGAATAGCATATGGAATTGATGGTGGCTTTCCAGTGCTGTGGCTGTCTGTGGAGCAGTTGAACCATCTCAAGGGTCTCGGCTTTCCAAAGCACAGTCGGCACTCAAACTACCAAACTAAGCAGAACACTTCCGAAGGTGCGGGAGGAGGACGTGTCCTGCTGGGAGCCAACAGTGAATGCAAACCTGTTGTCTGCACTTCCAGTTTTTGAGCAGCGAGGGACAAGAGCCGTTTCCTTTGAGAAATCCTGTCCCTTTGGCTGCTTGGCTGTGCCACAGGGCTGCAGATCACTCTGTTGGGTGCTGAAGCAGTGCTCTGTCCCCTCATTCATGGGGAAAAAAGTGCTCTGGTGGTTTGTGCAGTGGAGAAAGTCCATGATTCCTATTGCTTGCTTCTTGACTTTAAAGGAGTGTTGTTATTAACCTCTAAGTCTATGGGCTTCTTCAGCCGTAGTCTAGAGCAATGCTCAAGCAAAGGAAAGAAGAGCTCCTATTGTGCCACGTTGGGCAAGGCTGGATTCTTGAAATGTGACATTGGTGCGTGACCAACACTACATAACACGTAAGGTGTTCTGGGTTACCACAGGCAGTGAAACAAGCCTGCCGCTGCATTCCTGATTTTCTTGTTTGTTTGTTGTCTTTTGTGCTAATGATTAGAAATGACAGAATGATTTTCTGTTAATTCAGAATTAAATGAGAAATGCATAACTGGATCGCTGCGCTTCTGAAAACTGTTATTTTAGTTAGCTTCAGATATCTTGGATATATCAAAACATTGGGGTGATAGAACATTAGAAAAAAATTAATTACAGCATGATAAATAATAGTTCAAAAGCCTCTTCACCACAACTGAAGTGTTTTTACTTGGCCGGTAACTATCAAAGCTGTGTTGGTTTTAAACAAAATGTAGATGCAAGGATGTGTTTTAATGATACTTCTCTTTTTAACACTCTAAAGAACCCAACTTATCCAGTCTAGAAAAAGAACTAATCCTGGTGTTAATAAAGCCATGAGGATGGGGAACGATTTGCACATTAATGTACAAGTGAGAGTAAATAGAGAAACACTTGCCCCCTGAAAATACACTGATCTGTTTAATCTTTTCTTTGATGAAACACATCAGTAAAATAGTGCAGTTAGAAAAATAAATGCTTATCTAATTATAAACCTGTTGATTATAGTGATCTATCAGCCATGTACTTCAGTATGTATACTGTATGTTATCTCGTGTAGCTGTGCCAGCCAGCCTTGTCAGGGCACCAGACACCGACTGGTGCCATGTGCTCTGTGACTGTGCCTGCAGCTGTTCTACAAGTGCACTGCTGGTGATCTTTTCAGCTGTAAGGTGAATTAATTGTGATATTTTGAACTCAATAAACATTCATGGTAAACCCTCACTCTGTGTTTTGTTCTGTGCTCCAAGTTGGAAGAAAGCAGGAGAGGCAGCAGTGAAGATGCTGTGGTGTCCAGCTAACAGCTCTGTTACTGCATCACTCCCTGAGTTGCACGAGAATGGGGGAAGAGAGAAAAGGAGGAGAGCTGCACAGGCTGTGGCATCCTCTGGCCTGTCACATGCTGCCCTAAACCCTCCTTCAGCTGAGCTACGCCCCCTCTACCAGTAATGCTGCATCCTACCCCGAAGGAGAACATCCCGTCCAGTAAACGAACAGGACCTGCCAGCTAAGGAGCGCTGAACGGGAAGCACGCTCTGTGCTCTGGGTTTGCATTAGCACAATCATGCTGGCGGGTGATTTTATCACTAGCCTTGAAGTATGGCAACCTCCAGTAGGAAAGCAGCAATTTAGTGTTTTACGTAAACATTGAATAGGTGCAAATGCAGTTCATAGTTTTATTTCTTTACACAGGTACTGTTACAGCAATATAATTCTGGCCACACGGAGAGGCAGCTCTACAGCTGTAGCTATGGGACATAATCAAGGAGGTACAAATTTTAATGTGCAAAACTATAGGAATAAAATGAACAAACCATGATTGAGAGAAAAAGAAAAAAAATCATATTGCATTAAGTAGAGAAAATTTAAAAAGCTTTTAATGTACCACCAGATCAGTATTCATTATCCTTTCTTATCTTACGGAATATTAACTGCTCGGTTTTCTCATAAGGCACGGAACTGAACCAGTATGTCACTGAAGTTTAAATCACCTGAAATCCTGAGGTCAGTTACAAACAACTCACTGCCTCTGCAGCAAGAGAACTAGGAAGCGTGCAAATTCTGAGGGAAGAGAGAGGGCATATTCGGCATCAGGGAAAAAAACCAAAAATAAATGGAGGGAATAAAAATGAACATACCAAGCACAGATAATCTGTGTGTGTGCCTGGATGCGTGTGACTTTGCTACACATGAGAGCCAGCAGCACATTTGCAATAATTACTTTCAGTTCAGTTTTAGATCGCAACCTTTCTGCCTGCAGGAAATGAGGACCTTGAAAGAAAGCTTCTCCCCCCTAGGTTTCATTTTTTCCTCCCATTCAAATTCTTTTTCACACAGATAGTTTCTTTCTTGGATCAGAGCACACACTCATGCCACTATTTTAAGCAAAGCAGCAAATAAATCCAACTAATGAATGCATAATTCAAGGCAGAATGACTTCTGTTTAGTCAACTTACCCAAATCCCTGCTGCCGATGGCCAGAGGAAGTTCCATGTTGACACAAGGACAGCACGTAGCTAGAAAATAAGAACAGTAGTTACTTATAATAGTACACCAGGTATCATTGCTACAGGACTGGTGAATGAGAGAGGAAATGGGGCAGAACCAGGAGCTCAGAGAGCACTACGATCAGATGCAAATCAAAATTCTCGTTATGCAAATACAACTGAAGCAAAGACAAGCACAGAGGATATTTAAGAGTCATTGTGTGACAACAGGGCCTGACACATATAATCCCTTTAACAACTGATGAAACGTGCAAAACCCAGCAGAAAACACGGCACCTGGCACACACCTACCCTCCAGCGCTTTTCAACCTTTTCAAATTTTGTTCTGTTTTGACAGAAAGAGGGAAAAGTCCTCCTATACTACTACCAGATTACAAAAGGTAAGAATAAAGACAGGCACCGGTGTGTGTGCTGGGAGCTACGATGACTCAGACAACGTGCAGCTCCACAGCCAGGGAACACTCCAGGACTGCCTGCTGCAACATTAGCAATCCAGTGCGCATGCGGGTGAATTTTATTCCAAGTGTGAGGTAGCAGCATAAATCACTCAATATATTAGTGATAAAACAACCCACATCACATCTGAACCCTTCACAAGTGTGAAGTTTTAGGGTTCATTGAATCAATTGGGCTCCATTCCCCCATAAATGTAATTTGTTATCCACACGCTCGGTACACACCCTGTTATCAAAAGCTCCCATCTTGAGCACTGGGCAATCAGTGATTCTATTAAGCACTCACTGAAATAACCATCAACAGTTAATGCCGTGAAGGTCCAGCCAACAGCACAGCCATGCAAAGCGGCACCTTGGAGAGGTTAATGAAGAGGTGCTCCTCAGAGAGGTGGGGGGGGATATAAGCATTATCAGGTGCAGGATTATGTTGGTGTAAGAGTAGAGAACAAAGGTAAATGAAGTTTCACCCCGCTCAGGTGTTCTCAGTGATGGTACCCTCACAGCTAGGGACACCCATGGTCACCATGCATACGCCCAGGAGCAGGCTGGCTGCCAGTAGAGAGCCAGCGTCTCTCTCTAGATCGCACTGTTCCCTCCCACGCCTACAGGATGCCCCTCACGGTGGAAATCTAAAGCCACGCTGCACCCGCTGAGCACTCAGTGAGGCGGCAGAAGGACCCTGTTACAGTGACAAACCCCTCAGCCCACACCAGCTCCCGTCGCTAGGGATGCCCTGCCAAGGGCGATGGGTATCGATCGGATGCCACCTTGGATCTGCCCCAGCAGTGGAGCCTGAGGCTGGCCCTGCTCTTACCTTCGACTAGTCCCATCTCTTTGAAGTCGGGGCCAGCGATGATCTGGTTGCTCAGCAGCTCGTACTGGAAGCTGGCTGTCCAGCAGCGGAGGTCCCTCTGCAGGCTGCCTGCAGGAAGAGGGCCACGTGTGTGTGGGCACCGAAGCAAGGCACGTGGCAGGGTCGAGCCCCTTCTGCCTCGCTTACCAGCAGATGCAGCTGCCCAGCACGTTCCCGGAAGATGCTGGCACACTGGAAGTCGCTGGCAGGCTTGATGCAGTGGTGTGCCGGGCGCTGGAGAGGCTGGGCTCCAGGATAATGCGTGGGGTACATCCATTCCAGGGAGCCCATGGTGCAGCACAGATGGACCTGCTCCACGGCACGAGAACAGGGCTCCCAACTCAAACCGCTGCCAAGACAATACCATCCGTCTGTCACCAGTGTCACCCACAGCACAGGCAGAGCAGCCCAGCAGTCACTGCCACACTGCCTGCCCCAGACACAGGTCCTCCTCCCAGCTCTGACTGGCCTAACACCTCAATCTCACATTAACTGGTTCCACCTGGGCTGCCTCCCTCCCCTCCCAGCACAGCTGCAGGGCCGTGGGGAGGGGGATTGCTCAGACCTGGTGCTGCATGGGGGTGCATGGAAAGGAGCCTCAGCCCCTTTTGCCTCCCTGCAAATCCATGCTTGGATGCCTGCAGCATCCAGAAAAATGTCAGAAGGCAGCTTCTTTCTGCTAAAGAGCAACAAAAACCATCTGTGCGATACGACTGGCCAAGGCTCAGCTCTCCGGAAAATCGTGTGTATTCTGCTGACTTGTGCTCAGCAGCCCTCCCAGGGCCAGTTTATTATAAACACCAAAACATCTCCCATTCAAACTCTCAGAAACTGCTCTTTACAGAGAAGAAACTTGGAGGCCTATCTCCCCCCTTAGAATAAATAAAGCGTGCAATGCAAACTGCTTTAAGATCCCAGCATCGGTGAGAAGGAACAATCCAGACCTTTCAGCTTGCTCTCGCAGCCTGGCCTTTTCAAACACACCTATTATCAAGCTGTAGAAACCCAGCTTTTCCCCGGGGTGAAGAACTCGAGGAGGATGAACCAGAAGTGGGCGACTAGCTGCTGAGGCATCTTTGTAGGGTACCAAACGCCATTAGTTTTACCTCTGAATGACATGACCATGTTGTCTAGAAATTTTTGCATGTATTTGAAACACTTGGACTTTGCAGCAGGATCTCGGGCAGAAGCAGGGCTGCAGGGTTCAACAAAACACAATCTGTGCTCAAAGTGACCAAGCTGGTCAGAGCACAGCCCCCTAAAAGCCAGGCGGCTCTCTTCAGCACCAAGTTGTTCCAGAGCTGCAAACTCACATTTGCTTTTACGAGGAACAGGAAAACCTGAGTTCAAATACTTTAATCCACACAGTTTAGTCTACAGAGAAATACAGTACAAATAACAAGACAACAAAAGGATGCATTAGGAAATTCAGTAAGAGTCAGTGCTGTGACAAATTTGTACTTACAAACCTCTATGAAGAATATGGAGCAGAGGTTTCTCAAAAGAGCCTTCCGGGAGCTTAAGTCACAAGAGATAGGCCACGATACAACCAGCTGAAGACAAAAGCTTCTTCAGTTTCACTTGAGCTGCTGTGGGGTGCCACAACAGAACAGGTGGAGTTCTGGGACTTCACTGAAGTGGCAGCTTCTTACAGACAGACCCTGGCCCAAGTACTGCAATAATATACATCACCCACAGGTAATGATTTGAGTAAACATCACAATTACAGGGGCCTGCGGTATTATCACCTCCTTCCGAAATACTGGATGAAGTCAATGAGATTGTAAACAAAGCAGAGACTTCCATGAGACATTCCACAATCACATTTCCTGTGCCTACACAGAAAATAAAGAACACACTTCCCAGGTTTTATGACCAAGAGTTTTACAGTAATAGCCTCTCATTTATCCTCTCACTTCAGCCTGCCTTCTTTTAAAAAAGAATGGAAAAACAATTTGGGATTTGAAAGCATCACCTGATCGCAAGAAAAAATTAACAAATTTTGACTGTAAACACTTACATTGCAGTTCAGTGTTAGGTTGCCTGGTTATTTCTTTGCAAGTAAGATCTCATATACTTTGCAGCTGTGAGCAGTCAGGTTTGCTCTGAGTTTTTGTCTTCTGAGAGGCAAGAATGGTGCAGGCGGCTTGTGCTTATGTTTGGGCACTAAATAATACATATCTCAAACTGCACCACAAGGAAACAACTGTTCTGTCAAGAGCACACTTGATCACTCCTTCCTCACTGTTCTGTGGGAAAACCAAAAAAATACTGAATCCCAAATGTCACCTTTCTCGGTTGAAAAATACCCCAAGATGTTATAAATTCTACTTTTTAATCTCATTTTAAGCTCATTTTTACCCTGTTTAGTGCAACTTCAGAATATATATGCATAAACACATTCAATACAAATCCCAGGTAACAGCATCACAGTATTCCCAAGCTAAAGAATAACTTTTTTTTTTTTTTTTTTTTTAAACTGTTAACATGCTGGTATTTTCTTGTAAGTAGTTATTACTAATTTAAAGTTACAGCTCTTTAAAGTAACATTTTTACAGTATTCTGATCACTAAATAGAAATAACTACTATACATATTGAAGTTACAAGCTACAAAAATAAAAATCCATTCTGTTTAACTATAAAAATCCTATAAAGAGAAGACGGCTGGAGGTACTCTAAGGATTACAACAGTTGGTAGCAGACAAAATGGCTTTTGAAGGGTGTAAACGCTGAAGATACAGAGTGCAATAAACTCACAATGTAAGTTCCCACTTACTCTTAAAAAATAAAATTATTTTTATGCTGAAATCTACAAACAAGTTGCAAATGAAACAATGCAAAAAGGAGTTACACACAGCAATAAGGGTATACAACAGAGTTAACAGGGCAGTATTCACAAAACACAAAGTAAAATTTTGAATACATTCATACTTTTGAACAGGTAAAGGCCAGACCCTCAGCTAATGTAAGTCCACATAACATCACTAGGCTTAGTCAAGGCATGTGGCTTTACTCCAGCTAGAAGTCTCTCCCTGAGATGCCCAAAACCTGAACTGGGTATTCAGTACCCTTAGCGAGATAAATTGTGATCATGCCATGCTTTTAGAACTGTGGCCTAAACGAAGCTGAAATAGAGAATGTGTAAATACCCTCAATATACTTAACTGCTAAATGAGAAAGTGGTCTCTGTTGTCTCATTCTTGTGTTCAAGGAGCAGCTCACATTTGTCAGAAAAAAAGTCAGAGCATTTTAAATAAGTGGTTCACATTCAACAGGATCAGTTATAGACTAGTATTTCTGAATGTTAAGATATCCTAGCTTACTCCTAACTGAAGAGTCAGATCTTTTTTCTTTTCCGAAAGGAAAAAAACTGCTAGTATTCAGTATGAAATACAGAACAAAAAAGGATTTTCAGTTAGAACACATGCAAAGATTCCTAAGTGTCCTACTCTTACCCACAGATAACTAACTAGGTTACAGTGGCACTCTACCAAAAAGCATTTGTTGCCAAGTAAAAAAGAGTAACTATTAGAACAGTGATACCACTATGCCGTTCACAGCTAAGGTACAGTGCTTTAAGGTTTTTTTTTAATCAGTGAGATACAGTAACATATACTATACAGCTGTGAGCTTCAGTGCAACATAATGCAGAACCAGAAGGAACTGGCCAAACTGAAACCAGAACCTTTAGCTATCAGTTCTCAGAACCCGTGGAGAATGGGGAGGTTCCTCCCCAGCAGCACACAAAAAAAAAAAAAAAGTACTTTCAAAATAGGTCAGGGAGACTGGGAACCTTTGGAGTCCTTGCTAATATCTTCCAGGTGAGGTGATGGTGACAAAAAAAGCCAAACAGGTGGGTTACGGGGCTAAGAACAAGCTGTGTGAAGCCATTCCAATTTTCTTTTCTGACAAGCTAGCTGGCATAAAGGGTAAAGTGGACAGAAGAGAATCTCACTATCCTGATTTCAGCAGAGCTTTTGATACTGTCCCCAAATGACGTTTCTAGCTGAAAGTGAGCCAGCATAAAATGAGTAATTATGTGACTGAGGGAAACAAGTACTTACTGAGTAGCTGTAAACACTGGCAAGACAAAATGTGTGGGGAAACAAATTCTCAATCTGAATAAGTTATAAAGAAGAAACTTTTAACTTACTCTTGCTATAAGCATCGCCTCAAGAAGATGATTTTCTCCAACTGTGTTCAAACATGGTAGCATTTTCTTTTGCAACCAGGAGAAACTCAAGTCTTTTTTCTGAGAGCAAGTACTTAAAGCTTCTAGCTAAAGTAAACGGTGTTCCAAGTTACTTAGTGCCTAAGAAAAGCAAGACCTGGAAAAGAGACCCTATGAAGGGGCAACATCAAAAGTAAATGCATAAAAAGAGTATCAAATGCATAAACTATGCTATACAGTTTTATATTATGAATGTGAAATGCAATTCATAACAGCACTAGCTGAGAGAAATGTTCAAATTTGAACATAATTCCAAATTAATTTGAAAGAGAAATACTGCCATTGCAGCAGAAAGAAAACACAAGACCATGTTCTTTAATAACTGCAGTAATTCCAAAGTGCTGCTAAAGTATGCTCTAAATACTACTGTAACCTGCTTTAAACACCAGGAACAATAGACAGGAAAAAAAAAAAGACATAAGTGAATGCCATTCACCTCAGCTGTTTTTGAAGATGAAGAATTCAAGTTTGGACTTCAGATGACTTTTTAAAAAGTCCACACAAGGAGAAAGATCCAAAATGCAGGTGGCATTTAACCCTGCTATGAATTGCTGAAGTGAAAACACAAAGTAAAAACAAAGTCTATGACAAGAAGCTCTGTGCACATGAGAACATGCATACACATCTTCTCAACGTGCGTGTAAACAGGCGAGGTTTGAGCAACGCAGGAAGCTGACTCACAGAAAAGCTCTCCACACAAGTTTACATATCTTATAGTGCATGGCACAGGACTGAGAACCTACAGTAGAGGAAGTTATCAGAATCTGACCAAACTTCAGTTAACCTACTGTATGCACCAATACAACTGAAAACTTTGTGAATTCACTTTTGAGGGCTTGACAACTGATGTTATTATTCACCCTGTACATTTTACACAACGGTATCTTGTATGAAGACTGTCAGAAGAAACTATTCATCATTTGTCTTTTTGAAACATTGCTTTCTTTCACTATTTTTCAATGTTAATTGTAAACACCATAAGGGAAAGTTCTTCGGCACACGACATGAGATCCGGCTGCAGAGTCCCCTCTCCTGGGGAGAGCATGTACTGCAGCGTTTTCAGGTTTCTGATCTGTTTTCTCGAGAGCTAGAGAGTAGCTATTTGTACTGGTGCTGTATGCATTAAAAAAGCATGTAACTGTTTTACAATCACAACACAAACAGGACAACATTACACAGCTACAGCTATTTTACAAATTAGAAAAGTTCATTTATGCTAGCATTAGAATCTGGGAGCCTATTGCTGACATTTTCTGTCTGCAGTTGGACTAAAACCTAAAACAGTTCCATAAAGGTAACTCAAAACAGGCTTTAACCCCATCTGCAACATCCTGGAAAGGAGGGTACACTGACATCGAAGGACAGCCTGCTGGAAACAGGAAGACTTCCCAACAGATCCTAGTGCTAACATGGGATGATTAAAAAGAACTTTCTTTTGTCATGCATGTGACAGGTACGTAGAGTTACAACAGAAGGATGACCTCACATCTGATTTGGACACTTCAACCTTACAAAATACTCTCCATACCATAAACACAATGTTACAAGAGGTTTCCCCATGCTTACAATGGCCACGTTTGCTACCCATCACCTGCTGCAATCACTGTCAATTTGTGCAACACAAACTTTTTCACTTCTGCATGCAAAGAAGGGGACAGTCCAATACAAGCAAGACCAGGAGCTGTCCCAAACAAGCACCCAACTAGATGGACTTTCACTATTCATTCTCCTTTGTTTCTCCAAAAGGAATGACGGATTTACATTTCCCAAAGAGGATCTCACACATTTAGGACTGGACTCCTAGCAAGCCGCAGTAAGAGGGAGGATCCTGCCTGCACAAACATGGTACAACATCACCGGTACCCACTCGGACAAAAGCACAAGCCGAGAAGCCAGCTCGCCTACTGTAAAACAGGGAGACTTTCAAAGACTTAGCATCAATTATATTTTTTTCTAGACGTCAGGAGTTCAAAGAGTGAAGTTTTGGAACAGTTAACTTACAAAACAATTTGGATAATCATCTCATCACCTTGAGGTAACTCTGTATTATGAATAGTTTAGATTAAGTAACCTGTGGTGTAATTTTTCTTGAGAAAATACTGCCTTTCATAGCACATACCCTGCTTTCCCAGACTTATTTGTTTGTAAACAACGGTTACATAAGAACCATAGCACAGAACTTAAGTATTTTTAGGATGCTGATGGTTACAAGGTATTAAAAACAGTAATAACTTAACTAGTAAGATTTTTGGAGAAAACACAAACTGAGCCTCATAACTCAAAAAAAAAAAAAAAAAAAGGATAGTGGATTTATCCAGCATTGTATACTTTTGGGTATTTTAAACACTTTTTGGAGAGATTTAGCTATTAATTTGTTCTCTACATTTACATACAATAAAATAACTGAGATGGGGTCTATAGGGCTAATGAATACTGAATTTACAAATGGCTTCTGCCTTACAGTTCATTACACTCTAAGCACATTTTCAGACAGCTATAAATTCACTGATAATCAGTAGTATTGAAGATGGTACGTATACTTCCTACAATGAATACCATCAAGTTAAAAATGTTCTCCAAAGAGGATTACAATTTAAGGTTTTAAAAATACTGACTTTGCCAAGGTTTCAATAAATTATTTTAAAATATAAATAGTTCATTAATTGTTAATGCAAACATCATTTTATAGATTGTTGAAAAACAGTTGCATTTTACAAAACCTAGAAACATAGCCTACTTTACCCAATGGTATCGCTTTCAGTCAGCATAAAGAAAAAAAAAGATTGGGGGAGTTCTGCCAAAAGCAGCAACACTCAAAGTTCAGTCCAAAGCTCTCAACTTCTTTTATGATCTTGGTTTATGCAGTATATACTCAGCGTAAGTTATCTCCCTACTTGGAAGATCACCTTCAGTAACTCAACCGGGCTTTACTGAATTACTTAGTGACAAATTTTTAAACCTCAACTCACTGCTCTCATTTGCTGCAGGCTTAAAATACCTACACTAGAAAAGAAAAAAGGAAGCAGAGTTTTACTGCTGTTAACCATTAAGATGTTTTCACCAGAGCAGCTTTTAACCCGAGAAGCTTCAGACACGCCAAACTGACAGTTTCCGTGTTCTGTTGTATGTGCTCTTAACCCTTTACCATGAGGACAGACTGCCAATCTTTTTCTTGCCCTATATTCATATGGGAAATGAAGTTTCAGGTCCAACAAGGTATCTTTGACCCCCTAAGAGCCAGTCAGAAACCGAATGCTTCCATGCTTTTTTCACAATCACATTATACTTATGAACGCCAGAACTTGCTAGCCTCTGTGAACTTATCTCTCAACCTCCACACTTAAAATTGAAACAGGTAACAGCGACTTACTAATGATCATTTTCAGGTAATTATGAAGCAAGATCTTCAACAAGCCTTTAAAAAGCTCCGCATTTGCTGATCATCATTATTTCTTTAAAACCCTTGTCTAAAGAGCTAACAAAGACAGCTTCTTTGTCCCAGTTTTCCTCCAAAATGTCTCCTCAAGAACTATGATGTTGCTATTTTCAAAACCTAGAATTAGTCTCCCACTGAACTGAAGCAGAGTCAGTCACAGGATCACTCAGTGCAAGTCATGATACAATTATTTTTAAATTGTATGTTGGGTACTCGCGGCCTCAGGAGTACTATATCTATGGCTTACAAAGCCACTGAATAAGGTCATTTGCTAACAGAACATTTCCAGAAACCTTTGGTCCAAAAGCAACTCTCTTACTAACCACGTTCCCAGTCAAGCTTATTAGACATGCCCTGCACAAGCAGGTGTGCAGAAAAGTATCTGTCCTGCTCCTAAGAAGAGATGGCAGCCAGGAGCAGGCTGTTGTCAGAAAATCAGCCCACATCCTGCTTGGTCTGGTTTTCTGTTCTGGAACGGTTCTGGGGAAGAGGGCAGGTGGAAGCAGGCCAAGCTCCCAGCTGTTCACCTCTCCAAGTGTATCAAACATTTTTCATACTATACTGTGTGTGCGCAGAAGATCTGATTCCAGCAAGGAAGGGCTGCGCTGTCTCTCTCTCCTGCCGTTAGAGTAACTAACGCCTCCAGCGAGAAAGGCTGGGCATCACCACCAGTCTGAAAGGCAAAACAGTTGTGGTAATTCGGCTGTCAAAGCTTTTGTGAATGTCAAAGCATGGCTTTTTCCTCAGCTCTAGTTCATTCACAAGTATGAACCTTACAACATGAACCTTAATCCAGATTAGGCGTTCTCAGTGGTTTTAATGACCTGAAGTTCGTCACTGTGTTACGTTAATTCCACAAAATCTATACATCTTCATCTGTCTGTTCTCTCACGTGGTCTTGCTCAGACACGCTGGAAGCTTCATCGTCTGTTTGTTCACCCGAGGGATACAACATCAGTGCACGTGTCTTATGAGTTATGGTAACAGTGCAGGGCCCCTGAGCCCACGGCTCTCCATCCACCTGCATCGGCATCTTTGAACTCTTCAAGATCAGCTGGTGTTAAATAGAAGAACACACAAAAATAGCAGTTCAAAGGAGCTCTGAAAATACCTTTTACAACAACAATATACTGATGCTGCATATTTTCAGCCTGGCCAGGGAGAAACTCAGTATAAAATTAGTTGCATTCGTAGGCCACCGTCCACAGCAACAGAGGACTGTGAATTAGGAGATAATGAATTTTTACTAAGCAAGAGAGAAATCTAGCTCAACTGCAACCTGCAACTTCAGATCAGACAGTTGCGTGCTTGAGATTCTATACTGTGTATTAAAAAAGATTTAGGGAAACAGGTTCACAAACACCACTTACCCTCACTGTATGGGCCTGCCCCAGGCGAAGGGGATTTGCTAGTTTCATCTGAATCTGGGCACAGTGGAAAGAACCATGAACGCCAACAACCTCCAGAAGTCCATCATCATGCCTGTGAATTAAGAAAGGAGACTCTTTAGCGATGCTCATGAGCTCTAGAATACCTATCCAAATATTACAGAGTCCTTTTATGGCTATTCCTATAGAGAAGACAAATGTTATTCTACAAATATGTTTAAACTATCTATTTGTGCTGGACAACAAATCACACTGGAGGGCAAACGAAGCCATAAAAAAAGGCAAGTATGGAGCAATACACCAGCTGGAACACCCTAGCTAGCTTCTGGAAATTGTGGATATATGACTTTCCAAGGCTCATCTTGCGTATTTAAAGCTCACAGTGGATTTCTCTTCCATAAATTTGTAAAATTTTCTGTCTTTTCAGTCAGTCATTAATCCACAGGAAAAATTTTTAATGGCTCACATTTCTGGTAAAGGACCTTACCTAAGTTATTTTTAGAAATCCAGGATCATAAGCCTTTTAGCAGAACTATAAAGTATATTTATATACGTGGCTTCTGAAGAAGGAAGACACAAAAGGGAATAACTAATGTACCCACCTATTCTCTTTAGCATTGCTCCAGCCAACTTACTCAAGTATAGGAGTCAAATTTTTGGCTTGCTTTGTTATTATTTTATATTTTAAACATCTAGTAAGACGTATTCTTTTATATTCTGAAATGGACACACAATGGCTTTTTAAAAATTTTTTGACGGCTATCTTTATTTTTAACAGCCTCTTCAATGCTATTGCTTAATCACGCCAGACATTTTGAGGTCTTAAAAAAATCTGATTTGTGGGATGCACTCAGTCCAAGTCTCTAACACGAGGAAAATAAATATCTGAGATATCCTGCTGTCACAAGGAACCCTTCTGACTTTCAGACAAGGCTAGCTACGTAAGCACAGTCTACTGGAGGGAATTGCTTACACTACAAGAACTGTTAAAGGAAAAAAAAGACGCACTGTGTACCTTGCCAAGGGATAAGGTTCATCACCTGTTCCTTCCCAGAGCCTACAGCCAGCTCCCCAGTATCCAATATTCAGGACAATGATCCCTTCCAAATCGGGCAACTCGATTCTCTCACCATCCAACTCTAGCTTTAAAGCATAAATAGAAGTTAATTACTGTGGATCGGATTCAGTACTTCAGTTTAACCTAGTTATTTGCTTTATGCACTTAATAGGCTTCCACTTGAAGAAAAATTGTACAAACAGAATATGTTTTCTTTTCATACATCAAAAAAAATTACTTCTGATTTCACAAGATATCTTACGCTGTAACAGATTTCTGTTAAGAGAAAATAAAAAGGAACTCTGACATGTAATTCTCTGGTGCAAAGGCAAATTTTATCTGAATATTAGTACTTGTACTCATACAACTGAGTCAAGGCCAGAAAAAAAAAAATAGTCAGGAATTTTCAGTTAGCTCCAAGACATGAATTCCATGAAGTAAGCTGCAGATGGCAAAAGGAACATCAAAAATACTCCAGTTCCAGAGCCAATCTTATACAAATACAGCGATGTAAACTGCAACCCTTTCCCCCTTTCCTTTCACAAGGTATTTACACTCCACTGATAGTCCAGAGAATAAGCAAGTTTAAAAAACTTACCTCAATCTTTTTGTTAAGATCTTTACATTCTTGTACTAAGCAGTCTTTGGTTCCATAAAAAAAATAAACAGCCTATTAAAAAAAAACCAAACCAACAGGGAGAACAGAAAACACTGTCAGAAAAAGGCAATACATATGAAGACTATTTGAAATCTTCATGTATAGTTACGGTTCTGCAAACCTTATATAAAATTTGTATGTAACATATTTGCACATCCTTCCACTAAGCTTTCTTTGTGAGATAGGCTACAACTTGCACAAGAAACTTGCCCGCCACTTTAAAAGGAGATAGGCAATGTCCTTAACCCATTGATTTTCAAAGCAAATTAGACATTCTAAACAAAAATTGAACAAACAGTATATTCTGTGAGCAATTAAGCAGAAGCAAGGGAGAACACTTGTGAATGAGCTGGAAACATGATTTACCCCTGGAATCCCCTCCCCCAGAAAAATGAGTTCAAACTCATTCATAGCATGAAAGGAAGTAGGGGAGTCAAGCAATGTAAAGCAGAAAACAGCCTTAAGTCAAGCCACAACTAGAAGGAGAAAATGTCACTTTACCAAACATACCTTATTAATAATTCTGCTGGAAAACAGAGAGGGAGTCTTCTCACGATGAGCATGAAAGTTTAAAGCCATGAGAGCATCAGGTCCTATAGAAAAGTAGTTGTTCATTGTGAATACCTGTAAGACAGAAGTCCTAGTTATGGTCTTATTAAATATCATTATTCAGATTTAAAAGTCATGGTGTTTAATGGGAAGTAGGTAACCAGAAAAATATGTATAAACATACAAGTATTCCATAGAATCCATATTTATCCTTGCAAACCATACCTTTGGTTTCCTTAAGTTGTAGTATCCTTTGTTTGTAACTTGAACCTTCCATCTGAAAAAGAACAGCCACTACTTAGACTCATGACAGACTGTTCTCAGTATCAAAGCTGTAGTTAGGAATCTAACTACATACTGTGATCAAGTCAAAAGATTTACATTTAGTTAAATTATTAAAGAGTTAAGCCTTGTAGAACAATTAAATTCAGACTAGCTTTGGATCTCAGTTATTTTGCAGTTCCCTCCAGCAATACTTGTTTTTCTTTACATATAGTGCTGCAACTGAGTATCAGTAGAGCTATACAAGTATCTGGTTCTATAGAATTTATCTTTTCACTGTTACTCACCTGTCTAGTTTGATTCCATCTGCCTCCATGACATTTCGTAAGATTTGTTCTACAGGGACTTCTCCAGCATAACCTGCACCCCAGCCCAGTGTATTGGACAGGTCATTACCTGTTCCCAGAGGTAAAATTGCAACTTGGGGAATATAACGTTCTTGCCCCTAGGATACAGAAACACTACATATTAGCTCCTTCTTCAGCATTCATTCTCCTTGTTTTATCCCCAGATGTTCAGGTTAGACAGATACCATCAATCTTCACAGCAGCTCGTTACACAGTGCAGAGCAACAGAGCTGGCAGTGTTAGCATAGCAGATGGCACGCTCCAGTACTTATCGCAGGGATCACGCAAAGGAAGGAAATGTTAAACCATCGTGAGAATAAAAGAGAATACAAACACAATATGGAAACAATGTGTTATTAATACTGAGCAAGAGTATTCCTTCAAAAGAAGGATGCTTGGATCTGTAAGTGGAAGCCTGAACTTCTCATCTGATTTCCTGACGATAACACTGCTGACTTGCCGCAGCCATGGTAACTCACTGACGCTACCACTGCACACACCTCTGGGAACTGATACGAAGACAGACAAGGCTGTGAACCATAACAAGACAACAAAATGCTCTTATGAGACTGAAGTTAGGTCTGAAACTACAGATGCACATAATACTACAGTATTCAAAACTGGAATACCTTCCATTTCAAATCAACAGTAGACACACAGCTTACTTGTAGCTTCTCTCCTTGCTGTTAATAGGTGAGGCTGCAGCCTAACAGATTCTTTACAATATATGATAAGGAGCAGAAGCAAATTACTGCACTCATTCACGCACTGGCAATATAAGCAGTACAGCCAGCAAAATTATGAGGTTATTATAAAAGATTGAGCATGCTGGGAGAAATAAGAGTATATGAGCATGTCAGCTCATGCCATTAGCAATGTCATTTACAACAAATAAATCTGTTTAGAGAAAGAGGAAAGAACAACACATAAAACATTCTGCATCTTGTTCTTTTCTTGTTTTACAGAAAAGAATGACTTCAAACATCATTTAAAATCCAAAGCTTTTATATTTTTCCTGAATTACAGGGACTCAACCAGATGCATTCCTCCCCTAGTATGAACAAGCAATTCTGCAAATATTTCTCTGTAGGCTTATTCAGGAAGATGAAAACAATAAATGCAGGTACGGGATTATGTGGAGCACTTCAGCATCTCCAAAACTCATTTCACCATAAGATATCTTTTAATTTAAAACACAATACCTTTATCTTCATTTCATCAATTGCATCCAGGACCCAGCCTACTGTGCCATCCCCACCACAGACAAGAACCCTGACAGCGTTACAAGGCAGCAAGGTACAGAGTTGGAGTGCTTTAGCAGGTGTAATTTTGCTTAGATCAAAAACCTAGAAGAAAGGAAAGTTCCGTAAATTCACAGAACATGACTCAGGATTTGCCTCGCAGATAAACAGCTTCAAGCAGTTCACTCTAATGCAAAACAAAGATTCTCCATTTACAATATTACATGAGCAAACGAGCTGTCTTGACTTTTTATGAGCAGGATTTGGTTTCCTGAATTCACTATAGAGCTCCAGCTCCTTCACTAGGAATAAATGCCATTGATAAATTGAGCTGACAGTCCTAAGAAGTCTGTATCTAGAGGCATTATGATGAATTCTGTAAAGATGAAAGACTTCGATAGAAGTTATTTTTAAATATTCAGCATACAGTGAAGTTTATTCTTCAAAGCCTGATTGGGATGCATTTAAAACAAACACGTAGTGATTTCTATTAGGCTGTATTCTAAGGCTTGGTTTTGAACTTCAAAGGAAGAGTATTAAGGTGCAGCCAGGAAATCCAAGGAACAACTGCCTGACGTCAACATCCTGTGCCACGCCAGTGGACTTTAAGGGGAAAGCAACTGTAAACACTGACATTTTCACAAGTAAAGCAAGGATTTAAACAAATACAGGTTTCAAATTAAGAAGATATAAATATTTCATTTTCTAAAAATCGTACACTGTTTCAAGAGCCAGACAGTTATCACTAACAGAATTACTGCATGTGTTGCTATAAATAGAAAACTGGACCAGTATTAGAACCACAACAAACATGGGGGTGGGAGGAGCCTCTGCACTTTTGTTTTCTCTATATTAAGCTGTTCTTTCTAAAAGAACAAAGTGCATGAATTTGTTTCTTTTACTGATCTTACACAAGATCCCACTGCCATTGTGTAAGCAAAGTGATGTTTATTCTAATTTAAACTTTTATTTTATTATAGTGGCTTTTCACTGTAAATACCTGAACGGGGTTCAGAAGAATTTTAAATTCTCCTAGTAAAGTTTCACCCATGTTGTTTCCACTACGAGTATTAGCCAGTATGATGACTGGCATCCAGTGTTTTCTGCAGTAAGGTACTACCTGCAAAAGGTAACAGTAAGTCAGTCACACAAACATTGCACATTTGAAAATGTTTAAAGCCTTGCTCCAAAACCCATCCCCTGCAAATGCTGAAATTAAGAAGTTACCAATTAGTCTGAAGTAGTCAAAATAGAAACAAACACTTCTGACATTTCAAGGTTGAATATTTCTGTTCTACAGTGCCTAGAACAACAAATACTGCAATGTTATGAAAACAGTAGGAGAAAAATCACAAAACATTCAAGGAAGGTACCCAAATATCAGTGTTGTTTTGGAATAACAAAATCCAATGTCTGCTCACGCTTCAACTAACAGGTTAATAAAATGACAAACACCTCCGAATTAACACTGCAAGCACCTACATATACATTGAAACATTTACCTGATAGTTATTGACCTGACAACATACTGAATTCAGGTTTTCATGTGCGGTTTTTTTTAATATATTATAAACCCAAGAAGCAGTAGACAATTACCTTTTCATAACTGGTTCTTTTATCTTTACGCATCTGGTTGATTGTAGACAAATAATATGGTGGAATAATTAAGTCTCTGAATTCTCCAAATGTACACTTCTCAGTCTTTAAATGATCCACCATGCAGTCATCATGTACGGTGTACTGACACCACACACATCTAGAAAAAAAGACCAAAAGACATGAAAAAAATCCTCAAAGAACAGGCATACTGATTTTGCTCATTTATTTTAGATAATGAGCTTTCTGAAAAGTACTTACGTTTACATGTACCATTATAAGTAATATTTTAAGCACGTTACAGAGAAAATCATGCATTCCCTGGAAGCTATACATGACTATGTATTGGCTACAGGAAATTACGTAACTTGGTCATGTGCTCGCAAGTCTAGAAAAGTATGTGAATTCTGTGGAAAAAACCCAACAGTTTTAAATTAATTCTATTACTTTTAATTCCAAAACCAGGTGCTATAAACATCCTCTTGCATTGTCTGCAATACAAAGTTACACTGAAAGCTTGTATGAGAAACTGAACTATTCACCCTTAAAGAGCACAGATAAAACGCTAAAATTCAATCTAATGAAGTGTTACTAATTACATTAATTAATGAATTTCTTAAGGTCGATAACACCCCTTTAAGTCTGAAACCTAAAAGGTTACTCTGTACAAGGCTGACGGGATTTTGTTACGCAAAACTGCTCAGCCTTTTGACCTATTCTAAAAGCTGTCCTGGAAAACCGACCAGAACGAGAGGAAATACTGCAATATCCACTGCCAGCTTCTGCAGAATGTTAATCCTCGTTTGCTATATCCAAAGCCTTGGTTTAAGCAGCTGTGAAAGCTATTTTTGGAATCCTCCTGCCTAATCCAGCACACAACTAGAGTAGCAATGATACTTGCCCTATACTGTGACTTTCTTCTTTTCTTCTTCCTTCCCCCTTTGCCTCCAAAATCCTCTCCTTCCCTCCTCTCCTATGCACAGTCTCTCTCCAGGTTTTTTTTCTGACAGTATGCTCATTTACACTGTATTTCTGCTTACTTAGCAAGCAGTTTGACAGTATCACACAGAAGCAAAGCAAAACCAGGCAGAATACACGCTGGGAAGATGACATTCTTTGAGAAGGCTGAAGTAACCCTCTGTACCCAGGACCTGGACCACTAGCACTGTATTTCAGTGTAACAGGCCACTATGCATTACACTGACAACTTTGCAAGCAGCCTTACTGACAACAGCACAAGCCCGTTCAACGGTTCCTTGAAATTTTTTATCACTCTTACTACAAATTTTAACAATAGATTATATTAGAGTAGCTTTTAAAACTTCCCATTAACTTTTTTTGAGTATCCTTAAAAATATGCTTAAAACAGCTATAGGACAGTTGTTCTAGTTACGCTGAGCTTTTGCAGCAACGCATACACATTTTGGTGCTCTGAACTGTGAGTTGTGCCACCCAGATTGCTCAGGCTATCCACTGTACAAATGACAAGTGCGTCAGAATCTTCTTAAGGTCATCCCCTAACATATAAACCCTCTTGGACAGAGACAGCCTTTTATATGTAATTATACAGTAGCTAGCACATCATGCTGGAGTAATGCAATTATGAGATCAAGCGGCCAGGAGACACAGTCTTATCTATGACTCACATTACCCACAAGCATACATTTTAATTTTAGGTTCTTGAAAGCTGTTTTTTTAACAGTTTCATCCTTGGCTACTGCAGGATCACCTTTGGAGTAACGTGCTCCAATAACCCTGCGGAATGCACAATACTGACAAAGCCAAATTCCCGTGCGGTACCTGTAGTCGCAGAGCTTGGGCTGCGTGCCACACTGTTGTTTGCACACCTTACAGCAGCTGCAGAGCGGGACGTTGCCTCTGATCCAGTGATGCGGCATCGCACTGGGGGCTCCACCGTTGCTCCTCATCATGATCTCCTTGCAGAGAAAGAGCTGGTCAGCCTTCTTGAGGCAGCCCTCGCTGACACGCAGCCCGCAGCAGGGGCAGAAGGCGCCCTGAAGGATGTGCTGGGCACAGACGCAGCAGTAGGAGGGCTGGCCGAAGAGGTCTGTGTAGTGCCAGTCATGCTTGCTC